ACTGCGCACAGTGCGCTCACTGTCGTTCCAGCGCACAGCGCAGTGCGCCCCGCACCGCACCGCACTGCGCACTGGTGCGCCGCAACTATGACACCACCCTTATACCTCCCCATACCCCCCGCCCCCATCCCCAAAAGTTTCTCAGCGGATTTGGGCTGTTCTCAGCAAGTGCAGTACAGACCCCAACTCAGATTAAAAAAAAATCAGTGGATGGCTGTTTTCTGACTGGTCGGCAGACTGCCGACCGGTCGCTCCTACTGGTCGGCTGCGAAATGGTCGACTGGTCGGCGGTCGGCAGGTATGCAACCCTGGTGTTGATACAATAAAAAAATACAAAATTGAATATGACTCTTTTTTAACAAAAGGAAAGAAGAAAGGAAAAACAAAAGGAAAGAAGAAAGGAAAAACAAAAGGAAAGAAGAAAGGAAAAGGCCAAAAAGGAGAGCGAGACTATCCCACACACCCTGCCTTTTGATGATAATTTCATTTCTCCCAATATCAGAAGGTGCTACCGTCTTCACCTGAATAGAACGCCCAGTCATTATAGCTGTATTGGGGCACTTTTCAGTCTAGATACAGCAATAATCACCATGCTTTCTCTTCGGGTGAAGAGAACGCAAGCCTGTGCCCGAATGTAAATGAGGTTTCGCTGACCCTTGCACTTTGATGATAATTTCATTTCTCCCAATATCAGACGGTGCTACCGTCTTCACCTGAATAGAACGCCCAGTCATTATAGCTGTATTTGGGGCATTTTTCAGTCTAGATACAGCAATAATCACCATGCTTTCTCTTCGGGTGAAGAGAACGCAAGCCTGTGCCCGAATGTAAACGAGGTTTCCCTGACCCTTGCACATCCCTTAAGCGAATGTAAGTCAGGCTCACCATCATGGTTTTGCAGCTTAGGACTGCCGTCTTCCCCTGATCATGACATGCCCTGATAATGAACGTATACAAGCTATGTTTCCGGTCCAGTACAGGCATAATGAGGGTATGTTTTGTTTGGTTGAAGACGGTAGTGGCACATTTTGGGGTCAATCTTTCATGGTTTGTTCCTGCTTATGGTGATCTAGGTGATGAGGGTGATGATGAGGGTGATGGGGATGACACGGATGATGGTGATCATAAAAATGAGGAGGAGGAGCTTTGCTGATGATGACGATGATTATGGGCACTCGATTTCTCATATTTCTTTTACTGCATGGAAAAATGCAGGCCCAAAGCACGTTATGACCTTGGCATGATGATGGTGATGATGTTCATGATGGGTGTAATTGGCCGTTGATGTAGTTGGTGATCATGTTGTGATACAGTAGAAGCCACGGTGGTGGTGATGATGGCACTAGAAGAAGAAGAAGAAGAAGAAGAAGAAGAAGAAGAAGAAGAAGAAGAAGAAGAAGAAGAAGAAGAAGAAGAAGAAGAAGAAAGGAGGAGGAGGAGGAGGAGAGGAAGAGGAGGAAGAAGGAGAAGGAGGAGAAGAGGAAGGAGGAGGAGGAGGAGAAGAATAGGTGATGATGACGATAGGAGGAGGAGGAGAAGAAAAAGAAGAAGAAAAAGAAGAACAAGAGGAAGAGGAAGAGGAAGAAGGAGAAGTAGAAGAAGGATAGGTGATGGTGGCTGTAGAAGAACGAGGAGGAGGAGGAGAAGAAGAAGACAAAGAAGAAGAAGAAGAAGAAGAAGGAGGAGGAGGAGGAGGAGGAGGAGGAGGAGGAGGAGAAGAAGAAGAAGAAGAAGAAGAAGAAGAAGAAGAAGAAGAAGAAGAATGAGAAGAAGAAGAAGAAGAAGAAGAAGAAGAAGGAGAAGAA